GGCGAGATTCTAGATTAGATCCCGACTTTGTTATGTAAGTTCCCAGACTCAAAGGACCCAGGGCCTTGCCCTGCGTGTCTGAGTCAGAGCGCAGCCGAGGTGCTGGACCGCAGCATCAAGGGAGGACCACACATACACACACGGGAAAGCTTTTACTCGGCCGGTGCTCGCCATCAAATGACCATGTGTGGTATTGCTGACCGGCCACTTAAGTCCACGCAAAACATGATGATGTTTTGCTTCTATTTTGGCACACATTTGTGTCAATACGTCAGTTCAGTGAATTGAAAACTTCATCAGATAATTTAAAGAGCATGCAGCAACCTACTCTTTGTTCATCTTTTATGGAATAATCTCAAACCAAAATTTATTTTTAAAATGTAGCTCTTAAATTTAGTTTATTTAGTGGCATTGTAGTATAGTGTAGAAATCACATGTAAAATAAATATTTTATTTGATCAAATTCCCCCATATGAAAATTATAGGTACTCCCTGATGTTTTATAGATTTCTGGACATTTGAGTACAATGCCATTTTAGCTGTAGAGCAGCACTTAAAGAACACTTAGGGAAACTCTGTTAGTATTTTTGACTTAAAATGCCCTTTTCTGGGTTTTAGGTTTGGAAAAAGTTGATTCTTTAAAATCGGTTTAGAGTTGATTTTGTCATTTGTTTTGATCATTCTTATTATCCTGCTCAAACACCTGTTCCAATGTACTCTAAAAAGTTTCCAAGAGACTTTGGAAGAGAAACGGACGTATGAAATTACAGATCCTCCACAGTCCTCATCAATGAGGTTATTTTCCAAATGTCCATCTTTTGTTTCATGCAAGACCCACCTATAACTCCTGGTCTTACATCCCTTGCAGTTCTGTTTACTGAGAAAGGTGATAGATAAGTACAGGTCCTTATGTAGCCTACAGGCTAGAGGTTAAAAGAAATTAACCTGTGTCATTTCATACTTATATATTAGGGAAACAGCCATTGATTACTATTTAGAAGTTAAAAATACAATGAGAGTACTTTATGAAAGAAAAGAAAATTGCGTTGAATAAAATTACTAAAATGTTGATCTAAAAAAAAAATTCAATATGAGATTAAACTACTTTAATGCAGTCAAACATGAATTTATTTCAAGGCTGTTTCTGTTTGCATCTAAAATTCTACAATGAACAACCTTCTGTCTTTCTCAGGTTACACTTTATGACCTATAACCCTGAAGGCAGTGCATTCTTTACTTCTTCTGTCACTGGTTTGGTGGCACGGCAGAGAAGCAAGTTGGTGAAATCCCATCCTGCAGGGTTCATAGTGACATCAGCAGTTCTCATTTCCCACAAAAGACACTAAAGAGAGTTGAGGTACAAAGGGAGCGACAATATACAAGCATCCAAAAGGTCTCTAAGCATCTTTAGTCCTTTGTTAAAAGTTTTATAATATTATAAAATGTATTGAACTTGTGGGGTTTCTTTAATCTACATGTTCCACAAATTATGAAGTTGACTTTTGATTTAACAGTCTCTAAAGGGCTATTTCATTTCTTTTTTAATAATAATTAAAAAAAAAAAAGCCAGACCACCAAGGTGACTGCAGCTGTTATAAAGTTGATTAATTAAGAAAGTCCTGTCTAGCATCTCTATTTGTTCAAAAAAAAGAAAAACCTCACAACTTGATGTCAGCCAGTTATAGAAAATTACAAACTGCTTGCTCTAAATAATTATCCTTCATGTGAAGCAAATGTAGAGTTTGAGTGGCTGTTGTTTAACTGTTGAGTAAAGCACGCACTGGTTATGTGGAGAAAAGTGAGACCTGAAAACCACTGCATGGCTCTCTTATATGCAGCTGTAGAGAATAGCATGTTGATGTATTCCTGTGCACATCATCAGCAGCAATGCTGATAAAAAGTGGAGCAGGAATCACAAAGCACATTTGAACATAGGCAGAATTTCAATGGCTCCAATTGTGGTTAATTTCAGACAGACTGTGACTGCAACTGTGTATTTTTAAATTTCCACAGAGGTGCCAGTTTTTTAGGTCTGCATGCTTCTTCCCTCCGCCCCCCAGATAAACAGCCACACAAATAATCCTTTTATTAAGTCAAATTCAATTCAAATAAATTACTATCCCTACTTTTCTCATGGTTAGACACGGTGTTATGAACTGAGCATAACATTCAATGTATATTATTCCGTCTTCTACCTTTTAACTATGTTCTTAGCTGACTTGTGCTTGCTTTTTTCATTAATTGCTTTTTTGTATAATTTCTTAATTTACTTTACTGAAATAAATCAAGCTACAATGATTCTGAACCCTGAATACAGTCAAAACAAATGAAAAGTTCAAGAAATTGCACTTGCACTTTGCTCAGTCCTGCTTTTCCAAACTTATCCAGATTTCAGGGAACCCTCTTACCAATTGTAATGCTTGCATTATGCTTCCCTCATCAGCACTAGCAAAAGCCAAGCCAAGATACACTTGAATGACAATAACAGTGTGCTGATTTTCCATTAAAATCCTTTTTTTGGTGGTGTTGTTGGAGAAAACAGGGGGGGTAAATGCAATACCAAATCCAACAGTTGGTGGTGGAAGCTTGTCAAGAGCCTTCACTGAGATTCCACCCAAAGACCCCCGTATTCACTCCTCATTGTCTTGGCCTCCTGCTCTGCCCTCTTTATGAAAATAAAGGCAACCCAGGATTTAAAGGTCAAGTCCAAACAAAAGCTGACAGTCCCCAAAGGCTGAGGTGTTTTTAATTGACATTTCTGTCTTTGTCCCCTGACCATAAAGAGGAGGAGAGAAAATAGTCTTTTCTCTAATATACTAACTTACTACTAAATGAGACCTGTGGAAAAAGAAAAAAAATAAAATAAAATAGGGCTGTGGGGTGTAACCAGGTTCCACCAGCTTGAGGGAATCCCCTTGTTAGGAAGCTATGGGGGTAGTGTTGAAGGGCCGTGAAGTGCTTACTCCGCCATAAAGGAGGGAAGGCTCAGGCACAAATCCTCACACAGAAGCGGCCTCTCTCCATAGAGAGAGATAAACCAGTTAGGGCTTTGTTTATGAAGTTTCACTTTATTCCCCCCTGACAACCATTTAGACAATGACTATGGGGAAATGTCCCTCTGAGAAAGAGCAACAATAGTCAAGATCAGCAGCTTTTCTAAGCAGCTAATTCTGTGATAAAAAAGAGTGCAGATCTTCCTTCCTGGAAGCATTAGAAACTGCCTAATGAAAGACACCTGAACAAGAGCAGAGAGAAGCCTAAACAAAGGTGCTTTGTCCAAATGATGCCACCTTTGTGCACCAACACAATCACTTACCACTTTCTGGTCCTTTCTGAAATACTTTGCATACTATATATACTCAGTCCATGTCATGTCTTGCTCCGTTTCATTTAAGTGATAGTCTTTCTTAGAAAGCTTTGTTCTAAATATATGAAAAACTGCATAGAACAAATTTAAGTGAGAATAAATCTGAAAAAAAAAAAAACATCTGGATGGCATGTCTGTCTTGGGAAATATTTTTCTGATATTTAAAGAATAAGAATTACCTACTGACGACTGTTCTTCAAAATCTTTTTTAACATTTGGTGTTCCCCAAAGTGTGACACTTGCTCTGTTTTTATTTTATGTACATCCCTTATCAAGTTTTTTTTTTTTCCCCCAGTGTTTCTATTACATCTTTTATCATTTGTAGGCAGACAATATTCAGGTGTACTCAGTCTGTCTTTTGTTGTTGATTGTGTCATTCAATAGATTATCCACTTTGTTCCTATTCCAATAAAGACGTGGCAAAAAGTTGCCTTTATCTAAATTACATGACTTTCTATGTCAACAATAATTGATTATATCAGTATTCTACATAAAACAACTTGAAAGGCAACCACGACTTTTCTCAACTAAAAATTGAGAAAAGTCATTTAAAATCTTTCAGGCTGCCTTATATTCCACTTTTACTATTGAGTTTCTGATTTTCTCTCAGATACTGAAGATTTTTATCTTCAGTATCTTATGTTGTGCATTGGTTTGTGACCATCTCTGCAAAAAAACAAAAAAAAAAAAAAAAAAAAAAAAAACTCTCAAGTAAACAAGTTATCATTTAAAATAGTCTTCAGTCATGATATGCTTAACACTTAAGACCTTTTAGGACCCAAGCATCCTTTACAAAGTTGTTGTTTTCCTTCATCTTATTATCAAAACGAGGGGAACGATTGCAGACAAAACTCTTTTGTGCATATGATCTTTTGTGCTTTCAGCATTTAAGATGGCTTTTGTATACAGCGAGATGGGTATCTGCCACAAACATCACTCAGGCATTGTGGAGGGGGGATTCATTTTCAGCTCGCCTTTGTTCTATTCTTTGGCCTGAACCAAGGAGCCACGCCTGCTCCTCTACCTTGAATTGTGTGGCAAACATTCCCTTCTTTGTGGCGCTAGGTGCATGAGCTAGCTCATCTCTGCAGGCTTTCGTGGGAGATGGCTGTCACGGAGGCGGGGTCACATTTGGTAACCCAACCAGGTTGTGCTCTAGGGTGGCCGTTTGCTACTGGGCCAACGAGACTGTAAGCGGGTAAGAAAACAGTGCTCAGATGGGAAAGTCATTTTTTTTTTGGATCTCTTCCACAAACGCCTCCTCTACATGCTGCTATAGCTACCTTCACTCAATATGCCCTTGTTATGCCCTCCTTGGCTCCCTAATGTTTCCTTCTATCATCATGACGCTTTATTTCTTTTCTGATCCCCTTTCACCCAATAACTTTTAGTCTCCATACACATTTTTTTCTTTTTGAAGACTTGTGTTGTGTCACACAGAGGGAGCCACGCCCTGAGCCTGTGTGCACACTTTTTATTAAATCTGTTCAGGCGCTGGGCTGCGCTGCCGAGTAATCCTACAGTAATTGTTTCCAGATTAGGGGACCCGGACCACAAAGCAGGTTTAGCCAGGCATGAAATGGCCTCCCAGCACCGCAGCACCGGCAACCAGACCTGCCGAGGTGCGACTCACCTGGGTAAAGTCCACAAACGTCCACGGAAGAAGAGAGTCTAAGTAGCCAATGTCCTTTGAAAACCTGTTGAGAATTCTCCCTGGGAAACAAAACAAAAACAAAAAGAATCAGACAAAGCCAGAACTGCTGGATATTTTCAAAAAACCTGCTCAAATAAACATCCATGCCTGGGAAAAATTTTCACCTACGCTCTAATTTTGTAGTTTGAACTACAAATGTAGGTCAAACGCAGATATGTTCAATCCATTTTTTTTTTGTTTCAACAGAGGATCCGTTTCAATATTCACCTCAGATTCAACAGCGCAGAGCTGAGAGACTGAGATGAAAAGCATTCGCCCCATCTAGTTTAAACAATGAATCATTATTTGGGCAGCATTTCATAAAGACTGGCCTACTGTTGAATGAACATGTGAGGGAGCCTTTTGTCTGCAAACAAAAGGGCAACAGAAGCTGCGTACCTGCCTTTATGCTCCAACTGGCAGTGTCAGTGACATTAATTGAGTTGCCTCCAATCTGCTCAGGTGTTCATTATTTTGGAGGGCGCTCTGTAGGTGCAGTGGCAGCCCTTTCATTGTTATCCCTTTAGCAACTTTGCTACCTTATTCTGATCCCGCGGTACACACGACTACACTTCCAGGTGCTTTCACACAGAGTTTACCGCAGGGTCAATCCCTGCAGTGCATTCCGTACAACCTATTCACTCGGTCTCTAAAGGATGCAGATAAACTGAGAGGTAGACTACAGAATGTGGCAACAACTGAACAGGACTGAGGCAGCTTTCCCCAAAAATAGTAACTCCACAGTTACGTCATATTGCTTCAATTTACATCTGAAAATGAATCTTTTCTGGTCAAACATACACAACTGAAATCAGATATTTACACACTTTATAAAAAATTTTTCTCACCTTCTGACATTAAATCAGACTAAACTTTTCCTACTGAGGTAATTTAGGATTACTAAGTAATATAATTTTCAACTCAATTCAATTCAATTTAAAAGTATTTTATTTATCCCAAAAGTAAATTATGTCTTCATAACCAATATCATACAAATATCTTCTAAGATTTGTTGAGGAAGTTGACGCTGTGGGAAGGAAGGATCGCTGGCCGCTGTCAGTTTTGCAACAAATCAGAAGAGCTCTCTGACCGAACATGAATGACAGTCTAATGACCTGACCTGCTGATAGCTCAATTTACAGACAGTAGAAAAAACATATCCCACAGTGACAGGTTATGGAAGGCACAATCAGTTATTGGCAAGCACTGCTTATCCACTTCATTTGTTTTTGCAGCTCCTCTTTAAATCTCTGTCTGGATGGTTAGGAAGCCACACAGAGAGAAATCTGCTCTGTTATATGATCTTTGCTCATTATGATCAATAAAAAAGATGATTTGAACCTCGCCCTCCTCTCTCTGCTGGTCCTGCTCTACAGCTATGATGTCTCCTTATCAAACTACTTTTTAAAGTCAGACTTTCACATACATTGAGATTACTGCGCCTTGGGAAATTTGGAAAAGCCTGCATGAAAATATAGTGGATTTCCAAGCTTCTGAGCTTTTGAGTTAATTGTGGATGCATATTATGCGACATATACATTACATGTGTGACATCATGGAAAAATTGGTGCAAATTAGCCAAGGTGTAAGGAAGGGAATTGTAGATCTCCAAGTCTGAGTCAGACTTTTGGTACAATTTCCAGATGTACCAAACATCAATGAAGGTCTCAAAATGAAACTATTTTGTGTTTTGAGTATCTATCCCAGAATAAAAGCAAAAGACCTTGCGCAAATGCTCGCAAAAGATGGTAAGATAGTTTCATTACCCACATTGAAATGAATCGTGGACTGAAAGACCATTTAGTAAGGAAGAAACCGTTACTCCAAAAGCAACTCGCAGCACCATGCTACAGTGTGCAAATCCAGGTTTATATCGTGGTAAAACCCAAACGTTTCAATTCACTTGAGTAAAAATGTATATTCAAGTATTAACACCTTAAGTTGTCTGAGAATATTACAAATTCATAAAATCTATATTTTGCAATGAATTTACCAAAACTGACTTGAAACTCTAAATTTACAAAGAAGCAGACTACATGGCATTCAGTAGTGTAGGACGGATGTGAGGAGAAGCAGGGTGGGACGCTGGCAGGATGTGGTGGCATGGTAGTACATAGGCATGGTAAAACCATGGCATCGCTGACCTAAAAGTTGCCTCCCAGCTTCCAGTCAGTCCTATGGAGGAGGGCCCTGTAATCACCTCTCTCCACGGCCATAAGCAGCTTACAGCTTTATCCAAAACGCCGCTCCCGCCTAAAAAACATGCATGCAGACAAGGCCGGGCTCCCCATAACAGCCATTGCATAAACCCAGCCAGAGCATTATTCCCCCGCAACAACCCAGCAATGCTCCAAATCAACACTGATTCAAAGTCAAGTGGCGTAAGCATGTTGTACACTTAGAGGCAGACTAATCTTATTCACAGTGTGAGTGCCCCTTTAGCATACAGACATCCCGAGGGGAGGGTTCAAGCAAGCAAGGGGGTAGAGCTGCTACCACACCAATGTAAGATACTGCTGCTTTTCATCTGGGAACAGGGGGAGGACTTGCCAAACTGTGTTTGTTAAATATATTCAATAATATTTTATGTAATTTCACTGTCTGAGCCATAAATGACCTAAATCCATGCATATCTGACAAACAATGCCAATGTAAAAAAAAAAGAAAAAAAGAAACAGGATTGGTTTCTCTGGGTTACATCATACCATGGTTGGAGGGTGTTGGAGCATCCAGCGTCAGACGGGTATCAGCTGTTTGACAAGCGGCTCAGTTAACAGAGTTCTACTGGGGATGAGGCAAAGACCCTTCTCTGTCTGTCCAGACTATGGAGGGGATACATTACAGTGATGTAGTTACACAAAGACATTCACTGCATGGAAATGCCTATGAGGTAAGATCAGCATGGGACAGTGGCTTCAATCACTCTGGGTGGTTGTCAACAATATCACCTATTGTGTAGAGTGGGGTATAGACATTTCAGGATATCAGCAGCATTAGTATCAAACAATTTCTCATGCTTTGAGACTCCAAGGGTGATTTGCACCACTTTTCAGGCTCAGAAAATATCAAGCGCTCCCAATGAAGGTGGCCTCTTAAGGTGGAGATATTAGGTGAGCAGGGCCCCCAATCACTTTTAAAGAAGTGGAACAGTGGGGTCCGGCTCGAGTGGGGCTGTGTAGCAAATCGCTGTTCCCTGTAAACATCAAGATAAGGCGACGACTCAGAGCCGCTCCATGTGTGGGCCCCAGTGCAGTTGGAGGGGCTTTTCAGTGAGCAGAGTGTGATAATAAAGTAATACCAGGGAGGGGGCTGCCAAGGCTGGAGGTGGCACGGCTCACCTGCACTTCCATGAAGGGCCCACAGGCCTGGGGCAGCCTCCCACCGCCGGCGCCTTGCTGCCAATACTAATACATTCTAAATCCATTCTCTTCGCTCACACCGCCAGGCTTCTGCAATCTCCTCTCCTTTCCTTTCATGCAATTAAATAGTGGAAGTGCCGAGCGAGGGGGAGCCCCATCAGCCATGCTGCACACACACGCGCGGCTCCATCTCCACATTCAATTTACACACTTCGATATCATCATCCTCTCTGCAGTACTTCCTTCACTTTCACTCTTAACACTCTTGCATTCCAGACCTGAAATACAGACATTAAAAACACTGCCTCTGTAGACACAATTAGAATCTCACAGCTTTGCCCACAGAAGATCTAATGTTCCCTGCGTCAACAGTAACTGAGTGACACCCAGCTCTGAGATGGCCCACCATGCTGATGCAAAATGGGAACAGGAGATGCTGATGTATGTGTGTGTGTGTGTGTGTGTGTGTGTGTGTGTGTGTGTGTGTGTGTGTGTGTGTGTGTGTGTGTCTGCGTGTGTGTTGACTGAAACTCCACTCCTTGACTGTGTTGATGAGCTGAAGCCTCGGCCTGCAGTCTCTGAGGGGATTAGCCCACTCAATGACACCAAATTACAGGGATCAACATTAGCTTGACACATTCACTGCTGTCTGTGCAGCTCTAACTGCATTTGGATGAACAGCCGTAATAAGATAGTATGACTACATTTGGGCAATAGCAATATTTAAATCTAGAGAAATTTGCATACGCCCCAAAAAAAAAAAAAAAACCTGCTGGTTTACTTTGTTAACCCAAATGCCAGGTTTATGCTGTTGGACAGATTAGGTAAGACGAAAAACGGAATGGTAAACATATAGTGTATGAAGACGGTGTGAGTGGGTTGTCTTTACGATTTTAGTTCACTCTAAAGAAAGTGTTTGTTCAGGTAGTGTTGGCCTTTTATCTGCTAACTATATAGTGTTAGTTACGTATGATTAACATTCACGCACTGACAAGACAATTGTCCATAGAGTCAATGAAGGTGCACTTAAAACCATTGGGTTATTCCTTTAATCCAAATGCTGGGGTTATATATACTGTTAGATTAGAAGGTAGTCTAAATCAAACATTGTGACAAAAATTGTGATCCAGTTTGTCGTTAGGAGGGAGAAACGTTATGATCATTATTCCCAAAAAGCCATTTTGCTGGATGACACTACTTCATTGAGCCTACCTTACAGGATGAAATATAAACTGTTAAGATGCTAAAATTATTCTATTAAGTTGTGTTAATGATATTAGTTCACTCTAAAGGTTAGGCAGTGATTAAATTAGCCTGGTGATAAAGTTAGCTAGTGCATGCTTATGCTAGCAATGTTCATTATTTACACTTTGACCAAATAATTGGTCATAAAGTAAACACAAATAATAAAAATAGCTGTGTTTAATCCAAATGTTGCTGTTGAAGCAGAGTTTGCACAGATTAAACCAAACATTTAGTCAAAAACTGACATGGCTTGTTAAGCTTGAGAAGAGAAAAGGAGCTACAGTATATCACCATTTTGAAAAATGGAAAGAAATGAGCAAAGTAATTGAAGATTTTTCACAGGATGAAATATGAAATGGTAAGATGGTAAAATTATGCTATATAATATTGTTAGTGTAAATTACTTTAGTTCACAATAAAGATTGTGTTTGTTCATTTAGAATATCAGCTTTATATCTGTTAAGCAGGTAAGCTAATACACACTAAAGATATGTAATATCCCCACTTTGACCTAAAATGGTGAAAGTAAATAATAATCACTTAACTGACTTACACTAGTCCTGTTACCAAAATGTGGCGCATGTTACTGCAAAAACGTATACTCTCACAATTAAAATAGCACTTAACAACATTGTGGAATGTCAAAAATAGGCAATCTTTTTTTTAAGTAAATCGTATTCAGTAAGTGCATTTTAAAATTCATGTAAAATTATTTGAATTGTTTTTATTAGTTACCATAATAGTTTGTGTCAAATACATATGAAAAGTTATGTTTTTTGCAGGATCAAAATACTCACCAGTAGAAACACCAGTGCGTTTTCGCTGTTAAGTAAAAACCCAGCAGTTTTTACTCAACTTAGAAAAGTATGTGCTGAAGTATCAACTGAGATGATTTTCAGTATGATTAGGTAGTTTTAAAAATAAATATCCTAAATAAATTTAATTAAACGTATCTTTTTTAGTTCAAAAGTTGAAACCATGTGTCTGTTACATAGTTACGAGAAATATATATAAGAAATTTAATTCCGAAGTTTTCTCTTTTCAGCAGGGATCCTGAGAATTTGCACTTTCACAAACAAGTGATCTCAAGATATTTTTTCAGCTACAAGTTAGCTAGTGAAAAGGTTCGTATTAAAATTTTAACCAAAGCACTGGTTATAAAGTAAATATTTTATCCAATATTATATAAAATTTGTCCTCCAGATTCAATTGTTTCATCAATAAGTCTAACTTAGTGGAGCACACACCAAAGACCGGCAGTGCATCCCCTCAATTAATGCACATCATTTTGCACCTTTTAATACACTGTATTCAAATGTTCCAAGATTGACAGATCTCTGAACTTGGAAGGTTTTGATGCAAACATAGAACGAGTTTCAAAAGTGATGGTCGAATGCCCTGGAAATGACTTGTCAAATAAAAAAAGTGTAACTTCTCAGGAGACACAGATCAAATGCAGACATTATGTGGTTGTTGTACTTTATTATCTGCACATTTTTAATGTACAGGTAAACTAAAAATATAAATCAGACATGTGCAAATGATCATTGTCCTTGCCAATACTGATTTCCCTTTTACTTTTAGGTTTGACTTACAGTTTTTTTTTAAGGACAAAAACACAAAAATAAAGTAAAAAAGGTGTTGCAGGTTCTTTGGTAGCAGTAAAAGTTATGAAAGAATAATACGATTATCCCTAGTTATACAACCAAGCTTCATCTGACTTCAACTAAATAACAAAAATGTGTCAGTCTCCAACAATAATGGCTAGTTCTGATTTTAGTCTTTTTAATAAATAGGAAAAAATATTATTTCTTTTAGCTTTTGACCTAACTGCTTTTTAGAGCAGATCAAGGCAACATTGGCCAGCTAACTTATAAACCTCTATCAAAAAAAATAATGTTAATAGTAAAATATTTTAGGGGATGAAAATCTAACATGGTCTCCTAACCTAGTATCCTAAGTCCAGCCCATAATCTATCTATGTTGTGTTAAATCAACTCATGTCTGGATTGGTCCAGAACCCAAGGCTGGCATAACTCCATTTGGGTTTTTAAGCTAACCAATAGAAAAACCACAGATGGAGTCAAAAGGTGCATATTATTTTAGCGGGTACAGCTAAAGCGCTTCTTCGTCAATCCTACCTCGCAATAGATGTTTTCTGTTGTAACATACTTTCACAGAATAACAAAAAAAAAAAAAAACACCTTTATGCAGCGGCACTCACAATGGTAACCTTTAACTCAAGAGGGCCGCTATCAAACACAAGGCCTTTTTCCAGCGGCAGCAACACACCTATCACTTACACGTGTAAACAGCTGTCAAGTCCTCCACAGACGCACAGTTACAAATTGCAGAGACTTATTGCGAGAGTGGTGAATGCGGAAAAGGTGATGGAAGTGACAGTTATTGTGTGAGTGAAAAGAATGTTCAGACAGTGGCAAAACACTGGGAGGAAAGTGACAGCAACTGTCTACAGAAGGAAAAATAAAGAAAAACTGCAGAAGAAACATCCAATAACTTCAGATTTCTTTTTTCTAATGTGACAATAATTTATAATATAGTGTATAATTATTAACAGTTATTTAATTTCAATTTTATTTCTGATAAATGCTAAGACAGTTGCCAGTCAATCCAGTCAAACATAAGTGCTGTTTGCCAGTTTGGAGGCCAAGTTGTGACAACTGGACTGGCCACACAATGGCCTACTGATAACAGTACAACAGCAATCAGATAGCGTCTGTTAAGCCTCTCCTTTGCTGCTCTATTAAACAGATCATTACATTATTCGAAGTGTTTGCTCTCCTCAGTGTTATAAAGATTACCGAGCAAGGCACACCCAGATAAGCGAGTCAGGCAGTCCGATGCGTAATGCAAACAGCGGTAGCTGAAAAACAAAACCGAAAGATTAAGACGTGCCGGGTTCTCTCCATACGCAGCGCTGCGAAAGGAAAAGCTTTCGCGCTTATACACCCACCTCCTAATGCCAGTGGAAACCGCGAGCTGCAGAACACCCTCAAATCATATTTAGATTTGTGTTACCGGCTTATTATGACTCATTATACAGATACAAGTTGCCCTTCTTGTGGAGAATTCCCACCCGACCCGATTGTGCTGTACACTCATGTCACTATGAGGAGATTAGGCTGCGTAATTATCTCCTGACAGGTGAACAATGCAACAGAAAAAAACTGAAGTTATCAAAGTGGGCCACTTGATAGTTGACTTTGGATTTGAGTGACAGGCTGTGGTAATATTCCTTAACCTAATTAAAAGAGGTCTTAAATTATTCTTGAAAAAGAAATGTAGGGCAAATTATAAACAATAGGCAAAAACATGTTTTTATATATTACAAATAAATAAAGAAAAACGGGTGCTTTTCTGACTTATTTAGACTGTTTACTCACTTTTTATATCACCCCTGTCTGCCCACTCCAGTGAGCCAGCAGCAGTCCACACAAAAGCTAACGAAATGATAAAAATGTCTGACACGGTGCACAAGACAAATATGTCTGTATTTGTACAGCTCCAATCCAAACCCTACATTGTCTAAGATCTGCTGTTCTGCAAACATTGTTTACTCAATCTAGCTGTTTGCTCTTTTGTAAAGCCTCACAGTAAAGATGATAACGCTCTCACTTGTCGATTTAAATACCTTACATGCTGAAAAATCTTAAATCTTATCACAAGAATGTGGAGTTAGTGTAATATTTATGAAGCTAGACCAGCCTCACAAAAAGGATTAAATCTAATAAAATGACAACAAATTGCAATTATATTTTTTCTACAGAAAAGTTTTAGATTCTTTAATAAACATTCATTTAAGTTATTTGTTAAGATAAACATTAAAAAAAAAAGAAACAACATAAATTCTACAGGGAGCGAAAGCCCCCTATTTTTCAGGCTAACATTTTAAATTGAAAAGATTACATCATATAAAAACTTAACAGTCATGACAAACAAGAAAGATGAAGGGAGAGCTGGTAGGTGTTTTAAAGTGGAACAGAAGCCATGTCGCAGAAAGGTAGCAGTCTGCCCTCTAGTGGTGCTGTGTAACAGCAGCGCTCAATGTCCTCGACTCCTGATGGTTTCATCGTTCGAATGCATCATGTCGAAACAGAAATCAGAGCTTCGTTTGCTTGTATGTGCGCTTACCGGTTGGGTTGGTATCAAAAAAGTGGATGGAAGTCCGGAGAATGGCCCTGAACATGTTGTTGTGAAGGGTTTGTGCAGACTTCACCAGGACATTGAAGAAAACCAAACTGCGAATGAAGCCCAACACAACTGAGGTGGCTGTTAAAGCTGGAAAAAAAAAAAATACACAAAGAAGAAATGTGTGAAATGTATTACAGAATGATTAAAGTAAAATCGGATTTTTCTCATATGGTGTATTAATGGAGTCTTCAATATTTTATGGCAGATAAATTTGTTGGTGAAATGTGTGAGTATATGTGAGGATTCCTAGTATTTGAATGCTTTTCATAGTAATAAAAGTATTACTTTGATTTAATATAATTTGTTTGTGTGGTAAGTAATGCAGGTATTTCTGGATGTGATCAAATAAATAAGATAAATGTGTTAAAATTGCTTGTTAGCACAAGTAGCAAACCAGTCAATCATATGCATTTAGGTATCCACGGACAGAGAAGACAACTTGCTGAAGTTCAGACCAACATAAGAATCTGGTGGACAGGGGATGTAGGTGCCTTTAGTCATGGCATTTGGTTGCAAGCTGGACTGGTCTGAGTATTTCAACAACTGGGATTTTTCAGGGTTACAGAGAACTGTTTGAAAAATAGAAAATATCCAATCAGGGCAGTTGTGAAGGATCAAAATTACTTGTTGATGCCATACAAGAATGGACAGACTAATGCTAAGTGAGAAGCAGTAGGTGCTTCGTCTCTTGGTTAAGATCACGGAACTGAGCCTATAGATTGCAATCAACAAAAACTGGACAAAAACACATTAGAAAAGCATTGTGTGGTCCAATGATTCCCAATTGTTGCTCTCTGTATCCATCCCTTCTTGATGGCTACATCCAGCGAGATATGAAGTCGATAAATGAGCCAGGTCTACCCTATAAAGCGGCCGGGGAATGTTTATAGCCCAGCATATCTTTGATCTGCTGGCATGCTGGACACACTGCCTGGTCCTTTACTTTTTTACCCACCAACATAAGGTGTTTCTCCAAGGTTTATATTAGGACCTCTACTTTTTGCTTTTAATATAAATAGCTTTTGTAAGACAATTTATTACTAGATATGAAAATCATGTACATCATTGTTCTCTGCATGCTGCTGCTAAATATTCATGGTAGTTTGTCCATAATCTTTCACACTGGATGTTTACACTCCTGATGCAGGGCTTTTTTTTTTTTTTTTTTCCCCAAATGTCTGTCATAAGAGTCAGAAGGGAATATTGTGAAACAGCTATATAAATATACAGCACCTGCTTCCTTGAATAAAAAACTAAATAAAAAGTGACAGAACTGGTTTTAGTTCACTTTAGTCAAGGTCAATGTTTTTGGTATTAATACTTAAAACTACAGTTTTTTTTGGTACACTGACTTATAACGAAAATTAACTAGAGTTATTTTGTGTTTTATTAGACATTGTTTCATTGAGTTTTTTTGCATGTTTTAGTCATTTTGTGCCAAACCTCTTTTTAAATTACACCCAATTAGACTTACACTGAATAGTGTACTTTGTTATTATTAATATTAGTAATAAAGGTATCAATAATAGTGATTGTAACAAAAACTAGCATTTCTAATATATGTATTAGTACATTATATTATTAGTATTATCTACAATTTTGGTTTTGTTATGTGTGAGTACTATTTTCTAAAAAAGCCATGAAATAAATGACTTGTATATCAATGCAGAACAATCCTATCTATGCACCTCTTCCAAAGCAATATCTATTTATTTATGAATCATACAGGTATCTTTTTTTATCTGTTACACATTTTCTACGTTTTACTGCTGAGAGCACAAAACCTGAAAAAAAAAAATGAAGAGGCTGAGAGAAACAAGAAGATAACTGGGGGAATAGAGGAGCAGAAAGGAAAGAAAAGTCCTCCTATCTCACTGTACAGCTGAGACCCATGTAAACATACATTGGGCCTTGAAGGGCCTGGGCCACAGCCAAAGAACTGTGGATCTGCTCAATGAACGACTGCAGCATTCAAAATACACAAAGAGCAATGAGAGCTCAGCGAGCTTCACCTGCGTAAATGCCTAGGTACAGGTCAAGGTCCAGATGCTGAGGGAAGCTGCCATTGAGGTGCTCAGTCACACTGGTGTACTTCTGTTCAGAGGCCCTGCGAGTCAGCCGCCAAAAGCCAAGAAATTCCCAACAAAAAAAAAAACAAAAAAAAACACAACAAAGATAGTGGGAGAAAAAAAAGAAAACAACAACAACACAGCATCAGGGCACCAAACACAACACATTTATATTGTGAAGCTCAAGGTTGGTTTCAGTAAGCGACAGACAAAATCAGGTAAAACAGTTTTGTTCAGGCGTTTTCTACGAGATCCTCAACCACTTCCAGTCAGAGAAAATATGACTAACTTACAAAACCATCCATTCAAATTCTTGCAAGCATTCATGTTTTTTTTTTGTTTGTTTTTCAAAATTTGTAAAGACAAAAAAATCTCACCAGTGCGCAAGCCACCAGTCCTGAAGAACAAATGTAATCTAAACATAACACACAATTAAAAAAATGATTGAATATATAAACCATGCACATGTCGAAAACTTGACGCAATCACTTATTTTTTGCAAAATACATATTTGATAAAAGAAAACAATTAACTGATTGAAGAGAAACTCACGTGAGCTAGTCCATTGAGTAAAATGAGAAGCAAGAGGACCAGGACGTTGGCGCCTGCCAGGAAATATTTCACATACATGCTCAGGCCGACATTTCCTTCCACGCGACTTTCCTCCTCTACCGGCTGCACTGCCTACACATGGAAACCATAGTTTAAGCGGCATAAATCTAAAATAACCCATCTGAAAACAGGCCCACGCAGAGAGGAAGGAAAATGTGAGTATCTGCTGCTCTCTAGTGGCTAAAACGATGCACAGCAAAGCAGAGAGTTATGCTTCACCAAAGCCAGGGGATCTCCTCCTCCGTCGATCAGAGAGTAATGAGAGGAGGAAAGGGACGACATGGAGGAGTTGTCAGAGAGGGTGTAGTGGAAGGAAGAGCCAGTTCCAGGCAGTGGGGTCATGTCCTGCCTCTCCTCATCCTGGTCTTCCTTGAGAAGGGAGGTGAAGTCTATGCCAGAGCATTGCAGCTCACTGTAGGTCCCTTTTGCAACCATCTGGCCCTGAAAAAAAAAAAAAAAAAAAAAAAAAAAAAAAAAGAACAAAAGATAGAGTATTTGTGGATTAAGTTAATGTTTGACTACTAATGAGTTAAAAGACTCAAAATCTCAGTAACCTGACAGGGTGTGATTTAGGTTTGAGCCTCTATGAAATCCTCATGGTACGTTAACCTTAAATTGATTTATTTAATTGATTTAAATTGATGGTATTGCAGTATTTGGCATGACTGCACAAGTTTGTGACCACAGATATTTCTAAAGCTTAAAGTACCCCCCCCCAAATACCTTGCATTGTTCAATGATGGCAGAGTCATATAGCACAAACCTCCTTTAAGACCACAATCTGATCTGCAGCCTTTAGATACTGCAGCTGATGAGTTACAAGAATACGCGGTTTCTTCCTCAGGAGTCCACAAATGCACCTGAACGGAGATTATGTGTAAGAGAAAAAAAAAATAACACTTTAAAATTCTAATAGAGTGATCAAAAATCCCTCTAAAGAAATCAAGAGACTAATAAAGTCACACAAAAATCAGCAATTGAGAGTTATTGCTGCTAAAGGTCCTATTAAGATGGAGTGTGGTTGTAATGTAGCGTGCTTAATTATTTTTACATGCATTTTCCGTTTTGGCTTCTTTTTTGTTAAAGAATGACAAAGAAAAATTGGTTGAAAATTTTTGTAAAGTTACTATTGGACTAAACTTAAGAACCGTTGTGAAGAGCAGCTTATTTTCTTAAGTGCTGAACATAAATCTCTATATTTAAAAGAGCGCATTCTTTTTTTAATCGTAAGTGTAAGATGTTGATAATCAGACTCACTCCTCGAAAAGGTGCCGGCCCACTTCAGCATCTACCGCACTAAGAGGGTCATCAAGCAAGTAGATATCTGCATCACGATACACCGCTCTGAAAGCCCACAAAAATGAAGGTTGTCACTCTCACCTGTACCAAAGAAGAAGGCAAATTACCTTAAAAATATTCAGCACACCTGGCTAGGGCGACTCTTGTCTTCTGTCCTCCACTGAGGTTGACCCCTCTGTCACCAACCATGACTAAGTCACCACCAGGCATAAGATCCATGTCCTGAGACAGGAGGGAAGAAGCAACTTTAGGTAGGGATGACTTAATATCTAGCTCATATGTACAGAGACTCACTATGCCAGATTCAGAATAAGACAACAAATGAAACCAAGTCGTTTAATGGGAGCATAACAACACAGTCAAATGTGCAACAATAAGGAACATCAGGGTTCATTCTCACTCGCTTGAGAGCGCAGGCTCTCAGAACTCGATCATACTTCTTGGGGTTGAACTCGTTGCCAAACAAAATGTTGCTGCGGATAGTGCCAGGTAAAATCCACGGCTGCTGGGACGTGTAGGTCACCTCTCCTTTGACTTTGACCACACCGGTTTCCTGACTCAGTTCTCCCAGTATGGCATTCAAGAGTGAGGACTGACATGAATAAAAATGGAGATTTAAATGACAAGGCAGACACCCGCCTAGAGGAACCCCTGAATTTTTTTTTTTCTTTACCAAGGAAAAGATGTGAGTTTGGAGGCAATTAAGACAACAAACATTTTTCAGTGCAGATTTAATTATTGTTAAATTATTTAAAAGTTTAAAAACAAGACTGAAACTGTAAAAACTGAACAGACCTGACCTTTCCAGCTCCGACGGGCCCAATAATCGCCAGCAGCTGCTCAGGTTTCACTGTGAAACTCACATTCTGTAAAGTTGGTGCTTTGAGATTCTGCAATAAAGGAGCAAATAAAATGAAAACTCCATCACCTAAGCCAGAGGTTCCCAAACTGTGGGGCGCGCCCCGTAGGGGGGGAGCCGTGCCATTGCAGTGGGGGCGCGGGAAGCCATCTGGATGAAAAAAAAAAAAAAAAAACACTGCATGCGCTGGGTTTTTACCTTAGAATGGCAACTCTCTGTTATTCCTCTGTCAATTTGATACAGTATGGTCTTCCACACTTCCCATAAATGTGTCCTCTGTCACTATTATCAGCAGTTAAAACTGTTTAATCCGTTGTTAACATGTCATAACCTGTTTTTCCGAGCCGCCTTTAAACGCAACATGAGCGCTACGACGCTCACACTGGGTTTAGACCTGTGCGGCAGTGAAGGAGACCTGCTGCTGCTGTGCAGAGCTACGTAGGTGTGTTAGGATCATGGCAGCAAACCAGCAAAACGCAAAGAACTTTTCACAGTTTTTCCCTCCAAACTAACCGACTGAGTTGAGTAAAGCTGTTGGATGCAGGTAAAGTTAGCTAAAAGATGACTAGCTAACATCAATACAGCACCTTAAGCTTGTTAACAAGTAGCTTGTAGGCTACTGGTGTTGTTGTCTATATTCAGCTACGATTAATTTTGTCCCCAAAAAAGGTGATTCCACCCCCTTGTTCGTCTGGAGCCAGGGCTGAGTATAACAGGGAGTCTCTAAGAATCCACCTCCTTCGCTCACACACATCGTTCAACCAGACAGCTATTTGTAAGCCATAGGGGGGGCCCAGAAATAGTTTGGAAACCACTGGGGGGGCCCAGGAGAAAAAGTTCGGGAACGACGGACTTAAGCAATAAATGAGCTGACCAACCTGTCGGCGCCGACAGGATTCCGCATGTGTAATTCCCATTACCGTAATTTATGAACAGTTCAACATATCAAAAAAATTCCAAAAGTGCAGAAAAGCTGAGACATTGCGCTTTCAGGGCATATATGATATATTACGGTAGCCACCCGGGAAAGTTTGATATGAGCTTGACCAATCACAAGAAAGATTCTCCGTTGTGTCATATTTGTCACCCAACCTACTCTGTATCGTAACTCCTGAATGGTTGGTCGCATTCAAAAAATTCAAAGAGTATTAGAAAGTGCATAAAATAAGCTTTCCAA